AGAACATACGAGGTTTGATTGATGAGCTCTGATCCTCACATAGAATCGATTGTGTAATCGTGACATTTTGAGTTGTGGCCATTACATGATGTCATAGAGGTATAGCCACAAAACTACGTGAGTCATTTCAACAAATGTCCGTCAAATGAGCATGGGTCCTGACCTTTGGAAAACGGACAAAACTGAGGAACGATTAGTGTTCAAGTACTCGCCGGTTTGGTTAAGAGGTGGGAAGCAGAGTATAAGCGTGGCAGGGGAAGCCTTGGAGGCGACGTCATGCTGGACGGCAGGACTCCAGAAATGATCCAGAGACCGACGATATGGCAATAAAGACCGGCGAATGATTGCGTGTCATATTGTTATTTCAGTAGGTATTTCCTAGGAGAGAACACATTCCATTATCACAAAATCTTTGGCAATGACGCAAGTATCAGCTTGTTGGGTTCCACAGCTTCTGATATATGATGACAAATGCACCAGTCACAACATGTCAGAGATAATGAAGGTCTGTTTGAAGCCGAACAAGAGATGTTCTTGGAAACAATTGCGACTTTGATTGAAACCTGGGTTCAACACTTCCAGTCTGACTCGAACAACAATCAAACCAGCGGAAGCATTTGACATAGACGCCACCAAAGAGGACATCAGCTGCAACGGTGATGGCCTCCTTGTCTTGGGATGGCGAAGGTGTCATCATAGTGAACTATCTTCCACAATGCCAGCCAATAAACGGAGCATATTACACTGCACTGGTCAGGTAATTTCGGGATAAAATTAAGACTAAGAGACGTCGTAAACTGAGAAAAGGGCTGCTGCATAAATCAGCCATTGCGATGTATAAACGTGGAAGGGTCATTTTAATGTCTTTAGGTGAAGTCTTTCTGTGTGAGGCACAGTAATTATCAATCGCCCTTGTATGTCAAAATGGATGAAAACACTTGCGATTGCGAACCTTAAGGGATAATCTAATAATACACCCGTCTATAACCCAAGATTTGTACAATACGTGTGTGCTGTCTTTATCTATATCTCAAAAGCAAAATATCGAAGATCGATTTTTTCACACATTTCAGCCTTACCCCTCTCTATATTTAGTTTTGTTGGCATTCAAAAACATCCTGGTGTTGACATGAACAAATTCAAATTATCATTGCTATGAATATCTTATAACTGGTAAAGCGATTTAAAAAACTACTTTGTAGTTGAGCAGATACTGTGAGCCAACAAGTGCCCACATCATTCATTGTCCATTCGAGCGATAGAACAAATGTACACGAAATACGGCCAACATGATCGCTAATGGCATATAAACATTACCATCTCCGGAAATGCAACTGCCATGATGCTATTACAAGTGAGGTTGGGGTTGTTCCATGGAAAGTGACACCACCACTTTCATGTAACCCTAGGGAATAGACCATTACCATGGCAAATTTGTGCTGTCAGTCAATCAGCCACATTAAGCTTCATTAAAACCTTGATCCCAACCAAACATTATTAACTTATCGTGAGTGTTATCATATTCGGAACAAGCAATATCAAAATAATAACATAAAGGGACTCCTTTATGTTTTCCAATATATCAATTGGTGCTTTCCTTGGAAAACTTATGTTTGTTTGTTTGTTGTTTAACGCCGCACTCAGCAATATTCCAGCTAAATGACGGCGGTCTGTAAATAATCGAGTCTGGACCAATCCAGTGATTGACATCATGAGCATTGATCCACGCAATTGGGATGCGATGGCATGCATCAACCAAAGTCAGCGAGTCTGACCACCCGATCCCGTTAGTCGCCTCTTACGGCAAGCATGGGTTGCTGAAGACCTCGTCTGCCCCGGATCTTCACGGGTCCGAAAAACGTATGTACTTAACTATGATGAACCGTGTTGATGAAGTTGGTTGCTCATTATTTTTCAACATAATCCACACATTGCTGCTAACGATGTTGGTGTGGCCGGATCCCTCTGGCGCGAAAAGCTACCTCCTGGTGGTGTAAGAAGTCGCCCATAGCAGAAGTTTGGTAAGAGGTGGGAATTTGACCGTACTGGATGTTAAATTACTTCAAAGACTCATTCATGCTGTGCAGCCATTGCGACAACAGACTTGTGGTGGCGGTTGAAGGTCTTCCTGATTTGAAATATCTTCAAGGCTCCCTCTTCCCCTCTTGAACTCCGTTGGCCAGGAAAGAAGGGAGCAGCATCCCCTAAGGTTGACACCATGCCCGCGTGTATGGCTGTCTGGGTTAGCCCTTTCTGTTGGAGATACTTGATGACAGATCGGTAACCAATGGTGTCCATTATCGCCAACAAAGAATACATAGTCACTTTGATGCCTGCAGAAATATTCTGACTGGTTGTGTATTTGGTTCAATATGCAGTCTACCGTTGAAGGGGTACTATACATCCTTCGTCGTTAGGTAAGTCATCTCTCGTAGTTAATGTGCAAACTGAGACAATGGCTATCCAAACATGTCTTTCCTTCATAAAGTAAATCCTCAGCCTATTGCTGCCGACGCCGTGTCTCTGTGTGGTGATAACTAACGTTACCGAAGAGCGGACAAGAGCCGGTTGGGAAAAGTAGGTTAAGGAGAAATGAATGGGCAATTAGTTCTCCAAGGACTGCATCATAATGTATAAATGTCGAAGGACAAGGTAGTTCATTACAATGGTATATCCAATATCTTTGATAGTCATTCTATTCCTAGGGTACTGTCGTCAGTAGTGTTCTTTACTGCCAGCTAGTTGACAGCATTGGTCATATATGCCTAATTCTTGTAATAGCATCATTTCGTGATTACCTTACTTTCTGTGTTTCGATAGCTTTATAAGTCGGATGGGTTTGATTTAGACATATCCTTTTTGCGACGAACTACAGGAGTAGGTAATCAGCATCATGTACAAATTTTACACAGGCACACGATCATGTGAACGTTACCCGTGTATGTACATTCACTCACACACAGCAACACGCAGTCAACAGCAGAATCGCACATACAGGCACACACGCGGACACTTGCGGCATGGCATGGCAGATACACCCCGAGATATATAAGAGGACTTTAATAAGTAAGAGATTCGACTTGAGTATGTCTGGTTTGTCAGCGCTGTACCCGTGTCTGTGTGTTTCACCAACGTGGAAAATGTCGATGTCATGCATACCGTACATCTTCATATTGCATGAATATACTTTTTAGCATGGATATCATACATATAATGTATATCATGCATATCGTGTACACCGTGTTTACCACTTTACCTTGCACTTTATATCATGCATACTATGTTTTCCATGTACGACACATATGTTGTGCATATCCATATAGAGAAGGATGTACGTTAAGAAGAGATCTTGTGTAGTACTTAATGACAAAGTCAGCCAAGTTACCACAGAGTGTCTTTATTCTTATCACGATATCCTGCACGAGACAAATGTTGCATCTCGAGTCATGGATCAATGCGTTTATGAGCATCGGTTCACACAACATAACAGTTTGGTCGTGTGTCTATCGAACCAATCTAATATCTCTTGAATATGAGTAATTCTCCATATATTAACCAGCATGTATAGCATTCCTGCTTCTTTTGTCGGTGACTATATATTGCAGTTGTATACCATTTATAATATATATATATATATATATATATATATATATATATATATATATATATATATATATATATATATATATACGCACATCCTGTTCTGTTGCCCATACCCGGGGCATATAGTATAGTGATCAGAAAATAGTTTACACAGGAATACTACTCATAAATTGTGAGACCCGTGAAGATCCGGGATAGAATAGATCTTCAGCAACCCATGCTTGCCGTAAAAGGCGACTATGCTTGTCGTAAGAGGCGACTAACGGGATCGGGTGGGCAGATTCGCTGACTTGTTTGATGCATTTCATCGTATCCTAGTTGCATAGATCGATGATCATGACATCAATCACTTGATTGTCTGTTGCCGACTCGATTAGTTACAGATCGCCGTCATATAGCTGAAATATTGGTGAGTGCGGCGTTAAACAACAAACACACAAACAAACATAAACTGTGAAAAACTCACACGTGCTGATATTTCTGGTATTGAGGTATATGCATTTTGTCTACTTTGTAATCGGTGAACGGGGCAGTTTAGTTAACTTTCCCATTGCACATTATTACAATTATCACGTACTGTGTCACGTTGAAGGGCCACCTACCCACATCGGAATATACGAGGATGACTCGTTCGTGATCTCCCATAGAAAATTGCGCAGAATACAAATAGTTAACACATTATTGTTCAGAAAATTCAAATAACTCCAATTCAGTTGGTTCGGAGATGATCCAGCTTTGTTATCCCTGGCCTGTAGAAGTATACCACGCGTAGGCAGGCTTGATTTGAGTTTAGGCTAGAGTAGAAGTCTGTGGTGCCAGGTTATCGGTAAGGGGCCATGGGAAAGGACTGCAGCTGCAGCCATTGCTACTTGCGAAGTGTGTACATGTGCATAATCACAAAGCATATAGAACACCTGAAATGATCATTCCTCGACTGTAGTTCTGTGGCATAGCACTGCCCATTGATAGCCTGACCTCGTTTCTGACCTCGCGTAATAGCTGGTATATTGCAGATGCGACGTTACATTAAGGCCACGGACTTTTTGAATTACCGTATTTTTTAATACATAAAATGAATAATATCCACATACAGAATTCATTGATGATCCAACAGATGCAAAAACATGTTCACATCGTGACACGGCACCAGTAGCCATATATTCCTGTATATGAAATATTTGTCGGGCGCTTCATTCATTTGAACTTTTGCACAGATTGTCATGAACGATATGTATACCCTAAATAACACTGAGATGGGACGAATTGATTAGATTATGCTCGTAAGTAATCCACATTACATCACAAAATGGAACAGGGCGTTATGCATTTTGGGAAGTTTCCATATGACCTCGCTTGCAGGTCTTAAAATACCTGTTTACTGCATGAACAGCTGCATTGTGTATAGCCTCTATTTAGCGGCTATTACTTTCGAGGCTGGATTCTTATCTCTCGCGACAGCAAGACAAACATGACGCCGCTTCTGTTCTTTCTGTTTACAGTTTCAGGTAAAACTTTCTGTCATTTACTGATTGTTTACATTGCATAGTGAATATATGGACAGAAGTAAATAATGTATATTTAGTTAATTACAAAATTTTGAAATCCGAATAGTTTCATTCGAGTTTGGTAAACGTTGCATTTATAAGTTCATCATGTAACGATGCACCATAATATGATTAATCCATTTCGGGTGGATTGAAATAGATAATACTTTTGCGGTTTTATTAACCTAGTTATTAACCTATGATAATTAGTTGCCCCGTGAACTGGGACTGCTGTGAGGTTTTGTCGGAACTGTCCTGCTGCCGGTAACGTTTGACACACAATGATCATTGAAATGGACTTCTTCCAAACGGCCCTGGAGAATTTATTTGGGGAGCTCATGAACGGAACACTTTCCCAAAAGCCATTCCTGCCATTATCGTTAAACTTGTTGCATACTTTAGCTACAATTGGGGCCCTGCTTTGAAAAGGATTTGGTCAAGATTAGTCAAGGAAATGGTCAGCTTTCAGGGTTTGGGAAAACATTGTTAAAACATGAACTAGATATAACCGAGACCAGTGAAACCGCCTCATCTGTTTCATATTTAGATCTATTCATTGGGATTACGAATGACAAAAAGTATCCACACGATTGTATGACAAGAGGTATGAATTCAACTTTCCAACTTAGAAACCCTATTTTGTCTAACAATATTTCAGCAACTCCAACCTCAAAGCATTTTTAGGTACAATCGAGTATGCTGATTCCGAGAAAGATTCAAAGGGTGTCACACGAATCTTGCTCAAAAGTTGCTTGATCAGGGTTACAACATAACAGGCAGGACATGCTTACTGTTATCACGAAAACCTGATGTCATCACTGATTTTCAGTTATCTGTTCACATAATTGTCACTGCTTTTTTGCTTTATCGGCCCAATAGAATCTGTTTCAGTGGATAATCAAGAAGGGTCATTCTCCAGCGTTGGAAAATTTATATTTTGTAAATCTTTCAACATATTTCATGGTGGAGATGTTCCCGTGTGTCTTTAGGTGAACATTTGACTTGCCTGTCCGTGCATTTGTAACGGTGCTATGGCTGGGGAGGTAAACACCTGGCATTAACACCAATTAATAGTGATTCGAAAACACATGCTCATGACACAGTCAGAGACGGACAATTGACTGCGTCTGGCAGAGAAACCTTATGATCATGGGAAGGGGTTTTGTCGCTTTTATTTGAACAATCCTGATAATAATTGTTGCATCTTAAGGAGCTGCCTTTATTAAGTTATATGCTTAAAGTGTTGAATAATTGTTTTCAGACTGGAAGGAAATGTAAGATATATATGAACATTTTAGGAATTAGTTGTAAAGTATTTTCACAAGTAAAGCAGTGTTTAACACAACTCTTTCACTCGCTCTTATTCTAAGGCGTTTTGGGCGATTTGAAATTGGCGTCGTACTATGGAGACCACATGATGTTACAACGAGGGCCACAGAGGGCGGTAATGTGGGGCAAAGCTACAGTAATAGGAGACGAGGTAACAGTTGCAGTCAGTGGTGCTGCAGCAGTGAAGACAACTGTCGTCAATGACCCATCCGGAACAGAGGGACTCTGGAAGGTTAAGCTTCCGGCCATCACAGATCCGGGTCCTGTCACGGTCAAAATAACATCTAGCGAAGGGGAGATCACTCTCAGTGATGTTTTGTTTGGTGATGTATGGGTGTGCGCTGGCCAAAGCAATATGGGATTTGCACTAAGCCGGGTATGCCTATACGACAATGTTTTAACCATGTTTCAAGATAATAATAATAATAATAATAATAATAATACTAATACTAATAATAATAATTATAATTATAATTGCGTTGTTCCACTTCCGTCTACGAATGTATGCCCATAGCGCTACATGAAAACACACGTATAATTAAACCCAATAAATATTTTTATTTACGTTCTGTGCAGTGTGGTTAGTTAAAGGTATTTAAAAAATAGATTCAAAGTTTCGTGTGCCGTATATGTTATTTATAGGTCATGAACTCATCAGCAGAAATTACTGAAGCCTTGAAGTTCAAGAATATCAGGATTTTTAAAACTGGCCAGGTTGAATCTCCCTCCCCACTTGAAGACCTGAAAAATGTTTCAACCCCATGGACTGCACCCACACAAGGTGATTCAGTAGATTAGAACACGCATCGTCTGATAACTGTCACTGTTTTTGCTTTGAGTAACACTTACATGATAGCACCAGCGATAATACAATAGAAACACACTTCCAAGTTTGCGATAGTCATTTGAAACTCAATAGTACAGAATGGCAGGCTATTAATGGATGACTCGAAGAGGATTGAAGTAAACATTGTCTTGAAACTTCCAATTCAAAGACAATTATAGTAGTGAATACCTTGACGCTATTTTCTTTTCTTCTGAATGTATATGTTAAAAGATGTCTTTTAGATTGTCCTATACGTTATAAGTAATGCGATATGTTCCCGATATTGTTAACCATTGTTCTCCGAGTTAGGTTTATATAATAGATGATAAAAGTTATGGTATGTGCTGTGTGTACAACTAATATGTTATAGAGAATGGCATATCTTTCCAGGTAATGTTAAACGCTGAAGGTATTACATAAATTATTACTAACATGAGGGTAATGTAATATGCTTTTAGGTATAGTTTGTTTGTGTTATGGGTAATTTTATGCAATGAACATGTACACATGTGTACATGTGTTTCAGCTGAATCTGCCATCGTGACATTAAACCCAATCCTTTTGTTTGCTCATATCTATACCAAAATGCCGCGAACAGTGTAAAGAAATAGGTTATCAGCCATACAATTTGTTTTGCATCATAAACGTTCCTTCGTAAAATTATATCAATTTATTTAAGACACTGTGTCGGCTTTTTCTGCCGTTTGCTGGTTGTTCGGCGAGTACCTCTACCCACATAGGAACTACCCCATAGGCCTCGTCGAGTCGGCATGGGGAGGGACTCCCATTGAGCCTTGGTCCTCGCCTGATGCACTGGCAAAATGTCCTCAACCTCAAGTGAGGTGTGATATCGTGACGTCTTTTCGCTTTATTTGTACACTGAAACGAATTTTAGAATTTATATTAGCATTTGAACCATTTTATAACAACATTTATCCTCAACACTTAAAGCATGGAAGTGTCCAACTACTATTGCGAAAACAGAATGAATATGTAGAGTCGAACGATCCAGATACCAAAATGGTTATTTGTATTCGTTTTTTGTATTGGTTTGTTGGGAATGCAGTGAAGAAATGCATTTCTATGTAACTAATATTAATACCAAAAATATCTAGAGGTAAAGATAAAATGTTGAAAATGTACTTCGGGCAAGGGGTATGGACTACTGAATTCTATTGGCAAACGTACTGTTCACATTTTATGCATACTATACTTAAACAGGGTTTTGTTACGTCACCATGGCCTCATTAGTATTTCACTTTAAATATATCAATGGTGCAGGGCAAGAAGAACATAGACCAAAGCCTGTCTGTACATACAATACGAAAGAAAACTTGTCCTTCTATTGAATTCCAGCGGGCCTAAGAATAAAAGCGTGGTGTGGAATGCCATGATCAACCCCCTGTTAGACATGACAATATACGGAACACTCTGGTACCAAGGTATGTTATACATCTAAGTATAAACATAAAGTATCGCATTTAACGCGATTAAATTGTGACACTTTGTCTTTACTATTACTTAACACGCTTTCGCCTGATTGATCAGGAAGCACCTGAAACTGAATGAAAGTGTTGTTTAAAAGATATAAATCTCCAGGCATGGTCAGTTGAAGAAACTTTTTTTTTCAAGCTATTACATATGTGTATTCAATTTGTTCATTTTATTTAATGTTGCAGGTGAGGGCGGCATGCCTAATTTCTATGGATGCCAGTTCTCAGCACTGATCCAAGACTGGAGACAAAAGTTTAGAGCTGGTTCAGAGGGAGAAACGGACGCTGCATTTCCATTTGGATTTGCCCAGGTATTTCATGAACGGAATGTAGTCACTTATTTGTTCAAATCATTATATTGTAGGGTTAGTTTTTAGTCCTCAGTATTTATCCTGAAAATATTTGAATATCAATGTTTTTGTCTTCAATCTTTTTTCTTGACATCCTAAACTGTGTTCCGATGAGCTACACAGCCCTTGGCACCAGCTTTATTTCCATCTGTATCCTGTGATTTTTGCAGAAACTGTTGCTGAGTGAAGCCATGTGGCCGGACACGCTCCTCCAGTTCACCAGGAGCTCGGCAAAAACAAATAAATGATTTGCACTTGTACGAATCTAGTTTTGATGAAACTCAATTGGGAATCTTTATGTTTATGGAACTATCCAAATAGTTATATTTATGAGTCGCATGCACAACAATTGCAATTTCTGGTTACGTGTGGCATATGAGTTCTTTTACATCTTAGAAACTGTACTTGCTTGATGTATCTTCATTAAACATTTAACTCCATTCCGAAACAGCTACTGAGTATAACAAAAACTATTAATGTTTGGTAATATATTATTATCAATATGTTTCGTCACGTATATTGTGCTTTTTCTTCTGTTCTGTTCAGTTGGCTCCTAATATGAAGTCAGATGATATTGGTGTCTTTCCGGGAATTCGATGGTCCCAGACTGCTGGCTTTGGATTTGTTCCCAATCAAAAGATGCCACAAACGTTTATGGCTGTAGCTATGGATCTCCCAGACTACAATTCCCCATATAAACCGTACGTTTATGTGTGTATAATGGTCATACATGCACATTCTACCTTTACATACATTCCAGTAGTCATGTTTTGTTTAAAAAAGATGTTGCAGATGATCAACTCATTTTCATGGTTTGGTGTGTACGTAGATGGACAAAAAGGTTTTGACATAATCAATGAGTTTATAAATAAATATGGAAAAGCAAAGACGTATATAGATGTATAGACGTCTTTGGGAAAAGTAATAAAGGTTGTTTCCTCGGTTAATTTTAAATCATTTTCCGTGGTTCATTATAAGACCGAAAAGAATCTTCATGATTATGAGCAAGGCCTGTTGGAGACATTAGTGATGTCATGTTTTTAAGGTGTAGACAAGTAGACGTAGAATGAAGACGTAGACGTGCATGTAAGACAAACAACGCACAATGAACTGTGGATACGTTTACACGTCAGATTAAGAATGCCTCTTTCAAAGAAATTCACAAAAGACCACAGATTATCTGCATTGACACACTGACTTAATTGATGGTACCTTTTTGTTATTGTTCAGAATCCATCCTCGATACAAGCAGGATGTCGCCCACCGCCTGGTGCTTGGAGCTCGGGCTATTGGTTACAAAGAGCCTAATGTGATATTTCGTGGTCCCTTCCCCAAGACGTTCAGTCTTGACAACGATCAACACACTCTGAAGATTACCTACGGTCAAAACAACCCTCTCGATGTTCGTAACAACCATGGTTTTGAGGTACTTGTCGTAACTCATTTATAATTGTTCTATTTCTATGTGTATCCAGTCATCTTGGTTTATGTTATTTATCTTTTTGTTTTATATGTCACAGAGAATAATGAAGAACGATTGATTTCACGATACAACATTGTTCTATCATGACGTCATTTCTGGAGTTTCGAACATGCGCCCGCAACTTAAGGACGTCGTAGATTGGACGACGTTATTTGAGAAATAAGGACTCGTCGTTATATATGAATGGGCGGTGGGTTAGCCAAGTGATTAAAGCGTTCGCGCGTCATGCTGAAAACCTGGGTTCGACTCACCACATGGGTATGTTGTGTGAAGCCCATTTCTGGTGTCCCTCCCCGTGATATTGCTGGAATGTTGCAAAACACGGCGCAAAACCATACTCACTCACTCGTACAATAAAACACTGCACCCCTTAAAGTTTATTCTGTTTCCAGTGTTTCATTGTACGATAAACAAATCCCCATAGTCGCTTATGTTGAAAAAATATATACTAGTATTACAGTATAATGCTGAAGAAGAAAAACATATCTATATACGTTCCACTGCAGTTCGTCGCATATTTATTTCTCTTTTTCAGGTGTGCTGTTCCAGTCAGAGTACAACGAAATGCACTGACACAGATGAGTGGGTAGCTGCTCCAATCACTGACCAAGACACACACTCTGTATCGGTATCAGTGGCTGGCTGTGTGAGCAAGTCCCCAGTTGGTCTACGTTACGAATGGCGCAAAAGTCCATGTGACCTCAAACAATGTGCCATCTACGGGAAAGACACAGACTTGCCAGCCCCGCCATATATCAGAGAAAACGGTTTTAACTGATATAGGATGAGTGTACTGTTTACACTGGTGTTCTCATGTGAGAAGCAGTATCACCTTCTTAATAAAGCTTCAGATTGTTTTTCTTTCTTACATTTATCATGTTATGAGATGTTCAGCAATATTTTTCAGTGACTCCAATGGTTGTAAGAATAGGGTTTTTCCGATTAAATACAAAAATCATTTTGTTGACATCCTTGTTTCGCACATGCAATAGCACGCAGGATATACCTGTACGTCGGTTCTAAGTGTCTAAAACGTTGGATGTAAATCCGTCATTCAGTATCTCTGCATGGGTATTGGCAAAATCGTTTGCAGTTGATTACATCACAACTGTAGGGTATACCTGTATACGGCCAAATGTGTACAAAACCATTGTGCTTGGCGAGTAAATTCATGCAATTGTTTAACAAATGGTCAGTGTGTTGTCTTGGAACTTTGAACACTCATGAACGGCATTTGTAGTCTAAATATTCTAAATGAATCGAAATGTGGTCCAGTGATTTAACCATTCAAGCCTGCATATTACGAACGAGATCTTGAGCAATACAGTCCGTGTTACCACACATCAGGAGTGCCACCGTAATCTTTTACGATTTTAAATGAGCAATTACTTCGAGCTCATGACCAGTAATTAAGTTGTTTGTCGTACAATAAAACCTGGGGTTTCAGTGATCCATTCATATAGTTCTAAACACTATTTTGCATTTTACGCACTATTGAATGATTTTCGGAAAGTAATTGGCACACTTGAAATAATTTACTCTTGTTTCAATTGAAACTAAAAGTTAACAATAGCAAGTTCTGCATAGTTATAAGATGAACGTACTCAACACAATTTAGATGATGTTATGAGAATAGCATTGATAGAAACCTACTTTCAGTCAAAATCTATGTACTATCCGTATTTTTTATATATGTTAAACTATTATACAACCATTGATGAATCAGGCATAATTACCTGTAATGTATTTGCCTAAAATATGTATTCCATTGAAGATACAAGTTAAAATATGAATAACAGGACATTTTGTCTTGGATGTGTTAAGAAAATGACCCGTTCATGTCCTTCAGTTCTCTGCAATTTAAAACCTCGCTTAGTTCCCAAACTGAAGTAATTGTCATAAATCAGCTTCTTTTGATGACCTTCCCTTGCATGGGGCGACAAGACCGTGTTTTCTCAACTCGTGGACGCTGAAAATATGTTTTGTAGTTATTATAAACACATTCTGAAATAAAGTAAGATTGCGACAACAGCGTCCTATAAAACGTCACCATGTGTGTTCCCTACAAAGATAAGTCATATCTCACAAGTTGACAAAACAGGTAGGCCCTAGCATTATGAAACATCTGTTGATTTCGCTCTTACAATTTTCTGGTAGGTATTACATATTTATATTTTTCACCGATTCGTTTATTCCTTATAGAAGGTGGGGGTGGATTTAGCCCACTGGAATTGTCAAATTGTAAAATTGCGGAAAACTTTAAAATATTGGCATGAAAATTATCAGACGGACAAATCGTTTATTTTTTGTCTTCCTTATATATGAAAGTAATGGACTTCCGACAGGATAAAAAAGCACAAATATGGCTATAATTGTAATGTGAGAAACAGACCAACAATTGAAGTATAAGCAAGTATTGTGACCTTGAATGATATTTTTATCATATACTCTCTCAAAAAAGAAACGCTAACGAAAATGGTAATTTGATGCAGCAATGTATTGGTACAGGGTGGGTTTTTCAAAAATATTTGTTTTGTTTACGATTTCTCTAGTGTTTTTGTCTTAAAACGTCATTTCCAAACGTATCCCGCATGAAAAACCCGTATGTTAACGCATTTAATGTCACAGAACACGTATTGCACGTGCAATGCGCGGGAAACTCGGGGATCACATCGTGTCGTGGATGGGTATAAAAGATCGATCTCCGTCTTTTTTCATTCACTTTATTTGGAAGTTTGTGAAGACTGCAAAATGCCAAGACTGAGCCGCGCCAATCGTCACATCGCCATAGGTCTCCTGGAAGCAGGACAATCTCAACTTACAGTTGTCCGTCGAATGAATATTCATCAAAACATGATTTTTCTTCTCTGGGAGAGATATCGGCAGCAGAACTCGGTGGAAGATGAACCTAGAAGTGGACGTCCTCGAGTCGGTACATCCGGGTACATCACCTGCGTCAGCGAACAGCTACAGCGACCACTACCGCTAGGCAAATACCCGGATTGAGAAGGATATCTGCACAGACTGTCAGGAACAGACTACGAGAAGCAGGTTTAAGAGCAAGAAGACCCTACTTTGGCCCCGTTATGCGTCAGCAGCATCGACGTCATCGCGTTCAATGGTGTACAAACGTTCAGGCCTGGAATTTGGTGAATGGGCGTCGAATCTGGTTCAGCGATGAATCGAGATTTCTGTTGGAACGACGCGATGAAAGAATGCGGGTGTACAGACGACGTCATGAACGTTTTGCCGACGCCTGTGTCCCCCAGGTGGAAAGATTCGGCAGGGGCAGCGTGATGATGTGAGGAGCCATATCCTACATTGGAAGAAGTGAGTTGGTGTTGATCCAAGGCAACCTGACAGCGCAACGCTACTGCGATCAAGTCCTTCGCCTACACCTCCTTCCAATTATCAACCGCCAGAGGGAGATATTCCAGCTGGATAACGCCAGACCTCATACGGCACGTGTCACGAGGGCCTTCCTCCAGAATGAGAACATCAATGTGCTGCCCTGGCCCTCCAGATCACCAGACTTAAACCCGATAGAACATCTTTGGGATGCCCTGGACAGACGGGTGCGACAGCGTAACCCACAGCCCCACACACTCCAGCAACTAGCACATGCACTACAGGCAGTGTGGGCTACATTGCAGCAACATCAGATTCAGAGACTAATTCGTTCTATGCCGAGACGATGTCGCGCTGTTCTGAACGTCAATGGTGGTCATACGAGGTACTGACTTCAGCGCCATCAAACGACGATTTGTGATTCATAAACTGTCTTATTAAACAATGATACCTCGATATTTCCTGTGTAAAACGCTGGATCTCTCATACAAGTAACGGCTCTGGCGAAGTTAATAGACAGTCCATCGTGTAATAGAGGAAATACGGGACGTTTGATATCGGTGACGATTTTGACATTTTAGGCCGTAACACCGACCAGTCCCACTCGGATGATGAGATTTCAAGGCTTAACAAAGGCATATCTTTTGCATACAAATGAAAACATTTATGAAACTGTTCGGGACATGGTCTGTGGCGAACAGGTAATTTCCCCATTGAAACAAATGATTATGAAAGTAAAATATGACATTTTAAAACAGTTCATTTCAGAACACGCACAATTTAGTACACGAACCACTTTTTCAGGACCACAAATGTCACTTTCACTTGCTGGCATCGGATTGCCGTAAAATCTTTAAACCGAGAGGTCACTAATAAGTAAGCTGTCGTGTCGTCGTTAAATGCCGGTTCCTCTGCAACCTGAAGAAACGACTGTTCAACCATAAGCCAGTTCCATTTGTAATCACGTTGTACCAGCAGACTCATTCCCAGTAATTCTGCAGGTTAATGTTGAACAATACCATAGATCGGGGTTGTCATCTTGCTTCATGAAGCTAACATTGTCAGAGGCACGGACAGAGATTGTCAACAACAATATTAGCAGCCATATTGACAGTAGGGACGAGTGACCGCAATGTCACATCCCAGTTAAGGGTGGAGAGGCGTGTATTTTGAATTTGTATTATTTACTGGGGGTGATTGCTAACTAACTCATAACACTTACACATTTAAAATATATGGTGAATGTTAATTAACAAATATGTTGGAGAAATACATTCGTATGGCATTTTTGAAAACTATTCCTACAACCTATCACCTCTACAATGGGAGATGGCATATTCGATTTCCAAGAAATAACTTGTCTCGCTGATTTCTAAGAAATGACTTTGTGAGTTCAAACAGTTCACAACAGATTGCGATGAAATTAAAACACATATGTTTGGAGTGTTATTCGTCAACTTCTTTTTGAAAACTATGTGTTATGAACCCTTATTTTTGACTAGTCTAGATTATGTGTATTATAAAGTTGAACTTTAGTAATATGTGTAATATTCATAACTACCTGTGACCCCTCTTCGGAATGTTCTGAGACAGCGGACCATTGTACCCCGTGTATGTAGGCATTGCAAGAGAACGCCGTTTTCAAAGCGCTCTTGTTGTTATGTAAGACAGGAGATAAACCTACTGTGTTTTGAAATTGTATGTTGTCCCATTGCAAAGTAGATACCATTTATTTATTTATACATTTGAAACCTCGCGCTGGATTAAACTCTTAACTGAAAACCTTGTTTCTTATGATAGGCCTCCACCGGTCATTCAATGATCGTTATCATCAGAGGTGCATGTACTTGTAATCCATGCTCACTGAAAAACGTCTTCTTTTGTTCGTCAAGGTACGCTTGCTGTACTGAAATTTGCTTCATACTATGCTGACCATATGGTTCTTCAAAGAGGTCCCCAGAGGGCGATAGTCTGGGGCCATGCTGCAACGATAGGTGACGAGGTTACAGTCATGGTCAGTGGCAAAGGAGAGGTCAAGGTCAATGTTGTGAAGGATCCTTATGGAAATGAGGGTTTATGGAAGGCTAAACTGCCAGCTGTAACTGAACCTGGTCCTTTCACCTTGACAGCATCATCATCAGAGGGGGACTTAACTCTAACAGACGTCATGTTTGGTGACGTATGGGTGTGCTCTGGACAGAGTAACATGGAGATGCCAATGAAACAGGTACAAGTGTCTTAGAGAAGTAATTGCATTAATAAGAATTCATTTGGATGGCTCTTTTCATGAAGATTATTTGTTGCTCATCTACATATAGTTTTATTATGTTATAAATCTGCAAATTCATCGGGCATTGTCAGATTGAAAAATAGATGTCATCTTGAAAATGCTTCAAAGGAAATAACTAAATGATTCTTTCATTTGGTTTTAGATCATAAACTCATCTTTAGAAATTGCAGAAGCTCTAAAGTTCAAGACTATAAGAATTCTTAAGGCATCAATGGTGGAATCAACCACTCCGCTAGAAGACTTGAAGAGCTTGGTCTTTCAGTGGACTGATACAAATGATGGTAGAGTAACCATTTCAATTCAATGTGCATGTTATTTCCCGCATTCAATATTGTAAGAGAAGTCGAAAACTTCCATGTTATTTAAGTTAATGTATAATCCAGTTGTAGGTGTGTTGAAATATCACTTATTTGTATTAAGGGAAATGTATTGACGATGTATTGTTATTTCTACATGCTTAAAATATGCATCATCTAAGCCATCTTGTGTCTTCATTTGAGTTAATCAGTGCAATTTAACGAAACATTTCTCTAACTCTCAAACGAGATTTCATCTTCATATCTCGAACAGCTGATGTGTCTCGCTTCTCTGCTGTGTGCATGCTGTTTGGGGAATATATTCACCCCAACAGGAACTATCCCCTTGGACTAATAGACACGACATGGGGTGGGACGCCAATTGAAGCCTGGTCCTCTCCCGATGCCATCGCAGAGTGTCCGACACCGAATAATACGCATTTGAACAGTGATACCATATATGATGGCAACAATGGTCAAGTTATGCCAAGGTTGAATAAAGTGAATATAAACGTGTTAAATCTAGTCAACATTTGATATTAAAAAGTATATAAGAATGGTTTCTTTCTGACAGGGATCATTCTTATGAAACATCCACTTGATAAACTCAACAGTCAGTCACATTTTCCTAATATGTCATGGTTAATTTGTGTTATAGTTCCAAATTTGCAAACAATATATACAGAAACCTTATTGATAGATACGACCTCGATATTAACCTGTGCATGTCCTAGCATTATACCACATCTTATAACTATTATTTTCCCCCTCTTTTCAGATCCCCACTTGATAAGTGTGTGTTGTGGAATGCTATGATCAACCCGTTTCTCGACATGACGATATTTGGTGCATTATGGTATCAAGGTAATTAAACTACCAATTTGTTCTTGTCTCGAGTACATAGTTTTCGTTTTCGACTGTTATGAAACTGTGCATCCAAGGTTCCACACTTTATCTGTATTCTTAGGTGCTACTTTAAATGATCAAAGTCGATAAAGTACGTCGTAATGGGCTGACATCATGGCGCTGTTCTAATTTCCCCTGCCGTTTTCTAACGTATCCTTGGTAACATGGTTCATTTATTACTGTCAAGCAAGATAAGCGTCCACATCACGTATCGGTGAAATAGTTTTTTATCCTTGTAAATACTTGAATATCATTACTTGGAAAGAAATATGGGAAGATGATGGCAGCCATCTCTCATGTCGCGGGGTTTCCTCAAACATATTCAAACCACAGCAGCCACATAGTTGTGGCGGGTGTTGATGTCCCGAGGAATTATGGCTGTCTCTGGACACATGCATGAGATTCCTGGAGGAGTTTCATAACCACATGTGTACAGCTATTTCTCAGTGTAGGGCATTTAGCAACATACTGTGATCAAACAAAACGACCGCATTTCCTAGTTCTCCGCCATGTTCGTCACACGACGACGCCATATCACGTCGGGTCGGGTCGGGTACCTCTTCACGTAGTGCAGTCAACTCGGCCAGCACACGGTGTCGTGGCTTGCAGTTGCTGCAGTCTGCTTACATTGGTGGTGGAAACTCAGTTGCAAGTTTAAAGACAGAAAATACCTCAACTCACACTGACCAGCGATACTGGACTTTTATGATTGTGACAGCACGACCCCACAATGCACTTGTGGAATGTTTTGAGCCACGTAATTAAACTGAAACAAATTATTATTAATACTTCAATTTAAATCCTTCTTTTTGCGGCCTTGAGTTATAGAAATTCACACACTGAACGGATGATATAATGTGACTTAGTTAAATATACACTAAACCCTTTTTGGTGGTGAGTGAGTGAGTATGGTTTAACGCCGCTTTTAGCAATATTCCAGCAATATTACGGCGAGGGACACCAAAAATGGGCTTCACACATTGTACCCATGTCAGGAATCGAACCCGGGTCTTCGGCGTGACGAGCGAACGCTTTAACCACTAGGCTACCCGACCGCACCCCTTTTTGGTGGTGTTTTATTATGTTTGAAAAGTTCTTTGTCTCTTTACATAATGCTACAGGCAGTTAGGTGGAACAGCCCGTCAGGCTAGTTCGATTTTCAATTTTAGGCCACGCTTATTACAGACTTCATTTTAAACCGTTCTCCAATAAAACACAAGGTTAGTCTTAGATTCGGCTTCTTAGAAAGCTTGCTCTATGCTCATGTATAGTGTAAGAAACAAGGGTCCTCGTGATTTAACAATGATAGTTCAGGACAAAAAACTAAAATTATGCTTTATTACACTACACATGGGTGTAGAGCAAACGTTATTTCTAACATACATGCAATATTATTCTTCCTTAGGGGAGTCCAATGTCTGGTATCCAGATCTATATTCATGCCAGTTTCCTGCTATGATAAATGATTGGAGAAAGAAATTCCACGCCTGCTCAGAAAAGGAGACGGATATTGAATTTCCTTTCGGATTTGTTCAGGTAATTATCGACACATCACGTATATTTCTGTGAACTAGTAAGAATCGTCAATCTGTTTACGATTAACTTAAACATATATAGTCTGCTAAGCACAGGCTGTGACGCATTGAACGTATTGGTCAATGCACGCTGTATTCTGCCTATTTCCAGCATGCGAATACCCGTAGACGCTCCGCACTTTGCAGACACCACATCGCTTTTTCAAACACAAACAATTAATGAAATCAACCACATGATAAGAAGAATCAATACGACGGACAGTAATAATGTTTCTTTGTCTGTTACCGTCGCACTCGCAATATTCTAGCTATATGACGGCAGTCTGTAAATAATCGAATCTAGACTAGACAATCCAGTTATTGACATCATGTGCATCGATCTACGCAACTGGGATAGGATCACATGCATCAACCAAGTCAGCGAGCCTGACCACTCGATCCCTTTAGTCTCCTCGTACGTCAAGAAATGGTTTGCTGAAGACCAATACTAACCCGAAATCATCACGGGACAAGAAATAATGGTTCACAGAGATTAATGGACCTTCCTTGAAAGTATCACAATCAGAAAAGACACCCTACGCATGTATGTGGAGCTAATGCATGAGGCACGTCCAAACAATAGAGTGTGTTTTGATGTTACGCTTCACAGACATACACGTTCTTGCATAGAATGTTTGTCGTCAACACTTATCGTTGTTCTAATACTATTAACATTCATATTTCCCCTACATTTGGTCTGGGAATTAATGAGTGATACTTAAATTTTCAAGGTTTCAACTATGAGTACTTTCTTGGGGTAAAAACATAACTAAATAACGCAAGTTTTCATGCCTGGTTGTGTTAGATATATTTTTGGATACAAAAAGTATTGTTAGTATTTCTATCAGTACGTATATTGGATAGCCAAAAGTACATATACTCTCAATGCCACTGTGTTCATGATGCTGTCTATCATGCATTGATTGCGTAAAATGAATAATTTGAAATATAAAAGTATGTCAATCCTGTCTTCCATGATCACCTTGTGGAAATATCAAACATGGTTTCAATGCCTTTTGGATAATCTGTTTAATGCATTTTTTCAAATCAACAACACATTACTTTCATCAGCTTGCTCCTAATGCCAAATCTACGGAGGTTGGAGATTTCCCGGCAATTAGATGGTCTCAAACTGCAAAGTTCGGATTTGTTCCTAACGAGAAGATGCCGAAAACCTTCATGTCTGTAGCCATGGACCTTCCTGACTATGATTCCCCGTTTGGATCGTAAGTACCCCGATGATTGCAATCTTGTTTTCGGCGATTGATCAAGATGTAAAAAAATAACGATAAAGGTGTTTACTTTTTATGAGGTGTCAAACACTTTATTACAAAGTAGACACAATTTATGGATAACAACTTCTTAAATACTGTAAAGACGACTTTTCGGGATAGATCCTATCAAACTCTATTATCTGATTATCTATTGAAGCACTCTTACAATGAATATGAAAACTTTATATACAATGCAATGGGCGTCTCCTGGGTTTCAACCAAAAACAATGTAACACGGTTACAATCATTGTCAAACAATGTCAACAAAATACACTGCAATACAACCATACATGTTCCAAATTTCCAGAATCCATCCACGGTATAAGCAGGATATCGCCTCCCGTCTGGTTCTTGGAGCCAGAGCGGTCGCCTATGGAGAAGAAGGGGTTAAGTTTCAAGGTCCTCTACCTCAAACCTTCAGCCTTAACAACGTCAATAACATCCTTAACGTGAACTACGGAGACGATAGTCCTATAAAGGTTCTTAACAACAACGGTTTTGAGGTATTATTTTATTTCATGATATGTTATAAGAATATACCCTTTTTCAACGTTACACTTATGTAAAACAGTGTAGATGTTTTAAGGACACATATCTGGAAATACATTTTCCGAGTATCTCTTCCATATTTTCTGACATTCTGTTACATTTCATGTGAGGAAGTTACACGTAGGAATACCCCTGTGACAATTATGCATAAATTATTATCATCAACACCAGGTGAATGAATCTGAATTGAAAGTGGTCGGCGTACGTCTTAAATTAGGGATAAGTAAGTTAAATATGAACGATATCGAAAGGTTGTCAATGTATCCTTGAATCTAGGAGGACATAACACTCTCTGAACTTGTATTGCAGGTGTGCTGTTCCAGCAGTAGTACAACCGAATGCGCAGACTCAGATGAGTGGGTGGCTGCACCAATCACAGACCAAGACACAAACTCCGTATCGGTATCGGTAGCTGGCTGTGAGAGCAAGTCACCAGTTGGTCTCCGATATGAATGGCGCACAAGTCCCTGTGATCTCAAAGAGTGTGCCATATATGGCAGTGATACCGATTTGCCAGCCCCGCCTTATATTACTAAGAGAGGGTTTTAGACATAAATGAGAAGGAAGTGTTTCATGGTATAACCCTGAATAAAATCATTTCATTGTATTAATCATTCTTTTCATAATGCTTTATCTTTACATTGGCAGTCACACATAAAGTACATTGTCAGCTTCTTTATTCTCGGAGGAACGAAGGACGCAATGGTTTTGTGCACTCTGGTACCAAGGTCCAGTGAAACTCTCACATGACATTGTAGGATCTGAGTGCAGAACGGCGTGATATAACTGACAGGGACGAGTAAAGTGTTCACGAATTCTAATTTGAATCCAAAGATAACAAAACACCCGTTCATACTATGTTAAAAGGTCCGCTCAAGGGATTAGTGGTGTGATTTGAAATTGAAATAAAATTGCCATCATGCAAGGACTGTCAGCTGTTAGCAATTAAGCAGTTATAATCGAGTGTGAACCAGATGAAGCAGTGATTGACATAATACGCAACTATCCACGACGGGTACAATGGCACGCTATCAACCAAGCCACCGAACCTGGCCATCCGATTTATTAAGTCCCCTCTTGCGACAAGCACAGGTTGATAGGGACCTATTCCAACTCGGATTCCACAGGGGTGTATCAATTCATGTTGAATTACATGTGTGTATTTTATTCAATCGGGTGGTCAGCCTCGCTTACTTGGTTGATGCATGTCATCGTATCCCAATTGCGCGGATCGATACTTATGACGCCAATCACTGGATTGTCTGGTCCAGACTCGATTATTTACAGACCGCCGTCATATAGCTGGATTATTGTTGAGTGCGGCGTTAAACAACAAACAAGCAACTTGTATGGATATGCGTGGTCATCTTGCCGAGGCAAGGGAGGTAACTGACTATTATAAGTCCACTTTCCACCCTTGCCACTGTGCCTCAAGTGGCTATATGTTCATTGTTAAGACGATCAGATCGGCAATAAAAATTACATGGTAAGAAAACTGGTCTACCTCGCGACGTGCGTCAAATCACTTGAGCAACTTGATGAAAATATTTGGAAAATATCTGTCGACGGCCAGTTAAGAGAGTACACGTGCTTTGCAAACCCTGCAATCAACCGAAATCTGCCATGTTTGTTTACGAACCGGATGCTAATTTCGTTACGCGATTTTTGATTGAACTACGATAGACTCCAGCCAAAATATAACTCAGAAATTCCAGCCTATTTCGACAATGGTGGAAACTGGACTTGCCTCGGGAAGATGATCTGTGGTATTTATCTTACATGTCTTCACTGTACATTTTTTTCATAGATATACATCCATAAACACATATGCATGCATGCATGTCACTATAAACTACAATAATTTATACCGCTACGTATTCCCTATCCCAAATCATCTCACCCCATTTATATGTCAGTTGGTATACACGAGCTTATAGGTAGTCACACAAAATGAGATCACACAAGATAAGCCATATCTTAAACAGCTGACAAAGCAATTCGTCCTTCGCACCATGAAACAGCTGCTGTTTCTTCTCTTAAATGTATCTAGTAAGTATTATATTATTAACATTAATATATTCCCAATGGTTTGTGTAAGACAATTATGTTTGAATTGTAATGCAATGCCATTCCTTTGAACTTTAAAGACATGCTTACAACATGAACGCTGGACAAGAAAAAAAAGGTATACATCAACTGCGATACAATTGTTTGGACAAATCCAATTCAGTGATGAAATACGTAGTTTGTACTGAACAACAAAATATGGCAGTCGTTTGCGTGAACATTAAAAGGGGAATGTGAGAATACACCTGACGTAATATTGCATTCGATAATGGATTGTCTAACAGCGTCAATATCACACAAGGTACACAAATTATATTGTGTGCATGATACCAGTAGCTCTGGGCTATGGGATATCTCATTTTTGGGACTGTATTTGTTTGCAAAAACTCAGGTTTTACACAAAAACGATAATTGTATCTGGATTTGCTGGATGTTGAAGTAGTTTGGAAAATCTCTTATACATGTATGTCGGGAGTTCATTCGACAATACTAATGCAACAAAACATTTAGAAGTACTACACAAAACCGGACAAATATCAGCTAAAACGATCCCAGTTCGCATCTCCTAAAGAGTGTGAACTTGCAGTTGAAAGTTTACAGGTAAATTACGGATATAGCAAACCGAGAGGCCCCCCCAGGGCATCCAATGTTCAACATCATCGTAGGTAAACCCTGCTATTTGATAAACACATGCTCATGATGTAGTCGGTAATCGTACAATGGACTCTGCTTTTAGAGGGGAATTCTTATGATTATAGAAACGGTTTTATTTTTGAACTTCAGGCTCACTAAAATTGTTTTTTGCCCGTCAAGTTTCTAGTGATAGGCCTCCACAGGTCCTTCTCAATGATCGTTATCATCGGAGGTGAATGTACTTCATGCTCACTGAAAACCGTCTTCTTTTGTTCGTCAAGGTACGCTTGCTGTACTGAAATTTGCTTCATATTATGCTGACCACATGGTTCTTCAAAGAGGTCCCCAGAGGGCGATAGTATGGGGCCATGCTGCAACGATAGGTGACGAGGTCACAGTCACGGTCAGTGGAAAAGGAGAGGTCAAGGTCAATGTTGTGAGGGACCCTAATGGAAATGAGGGTTTATGGAAGGCTAAACTTCCAGCTATAACTGACCCTGGTCCCTTCACCTTGACGGCGTCATCATCGGAGGGGGACTTAACTCTAACAGACGTCATGTTTGGTGACGTATGGGTGTGCTCTGGACAGAGTAATATGGTGTTTACAATGGGTCAGGTAAGTGGGTACTCATTTATTCACAGACATTGTTAACGTCATAGAGAGGTAGAGTTTTTTGTAAAAAAGAAGAAGAGATTACCTATCCCCAAATTTCTTTCTCGTTGCCTTTGTTTCTTTTGTTATAAACGTGTACTGGCCAATTCATCACTCAAATGTTGCCGGGGGCACGGGTGGCCCAGTCGTCTAAGGCGCCGCGATTCGCTGTGCAGAGTTGCGTCCCTTGGGCATGCCAGACATCTATGTGAGTGGGTTCGAATCCAGGTTCGCAGCGATTATTTTTCTCGGGTTGTCAGCACCATATCCATGCTCGTGGGTTTCACCGAAGTGGTAAACGCCTGAGACATGCATCACTTCGGGCATTTCTCCTACACTAAGCTGACAGGCCGCGATATAGCTGTAATAATGTTAAAAGTGGAGTATTGCAGTGTATTGCAGAAAAACATGCATTTCATGTCGAAATTACTTCCGACACAGAAGAGAAAAGTTATGAACACAGCCATCATTTATAAGATGCTGTATACATATAGGAGTCAGTGAGTGAGCATGGTTTTAAGCAATATTCCAGCAACATCACGGCGGGGGACACCAGAAATGGGCTTCACACATTGTAACCCGGGACTTCGGCGTGCAGAGCGAACGCTTTAACCACTAGGCTACCCGACCGCGCCGTATAAATGTATACAGCAAAAAGAAAAGATTGCTTTTATTGTTTTGCTTTCATTATTGAAGACAGATCAACATATATTGAACTCGAACCTTCTTGGTCTGCCGTGAAAGGATGCAATGTCCACAAAGAACTTAACATTCAGCCTCCAGTGTCCGTATCAGGACCTTGCAAGTCTTTACATGAGCTGTGTGGTGGAAGAAGAAATGTTTTTTTATTATAGATTGTGAAATTTTATGTGCGTTTCAGTTACTTCTGTCAGCCACCGCATATGTGTATTAGGCCATACGCGCCATACATATGCAGACTATTTACTGAGAACACAGTTTTACAAAATACAAATGTTAACTTCTGGTTAAAGGTCATTAACTCACCTGCGGAAATTGCAGAAGCTCTAAAGTTCAAGACCATAAGAATCCTCAAGACATCACAGGTGGAATCAACCACGCCCCTGGAAGACATACAGAGTATAGCCACCCAGTGGACTGAGCCAACTAATGGTTGAGTATATTCACTTTTATATTGTTTCTACTGTCGAACATAGCACTTCTATTTATGTTATTGTGTGACCCACATGTGTACATGATGTATACAACTTTATGTTTGTAAAGATAAATATATGACTATTTCTTTTGAATAACATGAGGAAATAGTCCATGCAATAGTCCATGAAATTTGTTTTACTCTCTACGGCCTTGCATTCGTCTTCATTTAATTTAACTGACTGAAATTTACTTGAAGTCTTTCGTGATCTTTTACTATGTCCATGTTTTTATAAACAAATAAAACTATGGAGTACATATGTTGAACAGCCACTGTGACGTCCTTCTCTGGCCTGTGTATGCTGTTTGGGGAGTACCTGTATCCAAACAGGAACTACCCTCTTGGGCTGATCGACTCGGCATGGGGTGGGACGCCTATTGAAGCCTGGTCCTCTCCCGACGCCATTGCCAAATGTCCTGCATCCAATAAAAGGCATGTGAACCTGTTTTCATACATGCTTGTGACAATTATCCATTCTTGCGTAGGTTTGAAACTAAGTTAAGTTTCAGTATATACAAATATGTAACCTCATCCACGATAGAAAGTATCATATCCCTCTGATGAATTGTATTAGCATTTGCTCGATATTGATACATCTGAGAAGGACCTTTCTGATTTCCTTTAGAGCCCCGGGTGATAAATCAGTATTGTGGAATGCAATGATCAACCCGTTTCTCGACATGACGATATTTGGTGCATTGTGGTATCAAGGTAATATATAATTTTATTTCATGTGCACTGTAGACTGCTGAAGTCACATTCGCCGTGTAATGAATGGTAAGAATATATGTTTTCGAGACACTGTTCATAGGTTATGCTGATGTACACTACTTTTGACCAGTTTATGTCCTTGCTATTTGCTGCATGATTTATTTCTAATAGGGGAGTCCAATGCTGGGAATCCAGATCTTTATGAATGTCAGTTTCCTGCCATGATAAATGATTGGAGAAAAAAATTCCATGCCAGTTCAGAACAGGAGACAGATACCCAGTTTCCTTTCGGATTTGTCCAGGTAATGTTATCAGGATGTTATACCGCAATTGTGATCTGAATCTCAGACCAATCAAGCTCCTCGACATTAAATTACCCTAACATGTTAAAATGATGGCGTTAGTGTAGTGATATATCTGCTGTTTACTTTGTGGGTTTAACGATCATATACAATGTGTATGTTCATGACATGCCCTCTGATTCATTGTTTTACTTATGTGCAGTACATATATAGTATTGATTTTGCTAATCATCCTATATTTGGTATCATTGTAAATATGTGTTCCTGGTCTCCTTTTCAACTACATGATATGTTAAACGTTGTTTGTCTCTTAGTACCACATTTATATTATCAACTACATGATATGTTAAACGTTGTTTGTCTCTTAGTACCACATTTATATTATCAACTACATGATATGTTAAACGTTGTTTGTCTCTTAGTACCACATTTATATTATCAGCTGGCTCCAAACGCCAAATCTACGGATGTTGGAACTTTCCCCGCGCTAAGGTGGTCTCAAACTGCAGATGTTGGTTTTGTCCCTAATGAGAAGATGCCAAAAACATTCATGGCTGTAGCCATTGACCTACCTGATTATGACTCTCCCTTTGGGTCGTAAGTAATACCTTGTTTATAATGTGGAAACATGTTTCTAATATGTCTTTGGGACGAACGAATTCCGAATATGATAAAATTACCCGCGCTCAAGCCAAACTGAGTTCCGATATTATATCATAGTACCAAAACAAAATCCATCACATAAATATCAACTGTGAGTGCACGTGAAAGCTAAAAACAACATTGTCAACACATTTAAACAACAGAGTTCGTCTTTCAAACATTTGATGCAAGATGGAAAAGATTCGATGTTTATTTTCTCAACAGAAACAGTGTAAGACGGTTACAGTCATTGTCAAACAATGTCAACAAAATACACGCCATATAACCATATAAATATATGTTCCAAATTTACAGAATCCATCCACGGTATAAGCAAGACATCGCCTCCCGTCTGGTTCTTGGGGCCAGAGCGGTCGCCTATGGAGAAGAAGGGGTTAAGTTTCAGGGTCCTCTCCCTCAAACATTCAGCCTTAACAACGTCAATAACGTCCTTAACGTGAACTACGGAGACGATAGTCCTGTAAAGGTTCTTAACAACAACGGTTTTGAGGTAGATTTTTGTTAGTTTCCAACCATTTTCACACATGAAAACACTTAAAGAAGAAATTGTAGAAATTGTACACACGGTTTATATCGTGAACGAACGTATTTATGACATCTTTTGAAATGGTAATTTTTGCGGGTAACCTGTTATATTTCACGTGACACATTTGCGATTAGGGAGATCCTTATGAGTTTGTTTAATGTGTTGGTTGTAAAGCAGTATGTTATGTACATCATGTGGTGGCAGCTTAATGAGGGAGGGAAGTCGTACAGGTTGAGACGTTTACCATCAGCCAAGGTATGGTGCTGACAAACAAGGAATCATGGGATCATGCAGGACGAATGTGGGATTCTAAGCCACGAGCATGGGATTCTGGACGTAATTCGGCACATCAAACTACGTCGCCTTTGACAACTATGCCACCTAGTACAACAGTATTTTTATGACAATTATGTATGAATTTATCACCGGTCATTAGTATCGAACGAATTCAAACGTATACGACGTACTACTTAAACACCATTGAAACCATACTAGGAATTTGAACATAACTCTTTGATTTTATTGGTGAAGATTATATACTGTGCTTATATATTGCAGGTGTGCTGTTCCAGCAGTAGTACAACCGAATGCGCAGACTCAGATGAGTGGGTGGCTGCACCAATCACAGACCAAGACACAAACTCCGTATCGGTATCCGTAGCTGGCTGTGAGAGCAAGTCACCAGTTGGTCTCCGATATGAATGGCGCACAAGTCCCTGTGATCTCAAAGAGTGTGCCATATATGGTAGTGATACAGATTTGCCAGCTCCACCCTACATCACAACGAGAGGGTTTTAGACAAGGATAAACACATGAGTCGTTCAAACTGACTATCATGAATACAATACAAGTTCTTACACTGTATCGAATTTTGTCATTTGTTTCTGTGCAGCCTCAGACGTCCTTCCTTGTAGTCTCACGCATGTTGTGCTTGACATGCACTCGTTCGGAATATATAAATTATCTGCAGTTTATATAGACGAATACATAAATCGCTATGTACATCGAATGAAAGCTTATATTGATACCTCGACGGTTTCGAGTGTTATTTGGGGGTACAGGCAGCCCATGCGTCTAAAGCAAAGCAATTCGCTGTGCAGAGGTTCGTTCCTTGTTATCGATACATTTGATACACATATACACCATTGCACTTCCTTGTCATTTGCTACAAGATTTCTCGACTTGCTAACTATTTACTGAAAATCCTAACTTATGCCAATTGAATGATCACTGTGTTAACGGTATGAATCATCTCTAGATCAAATTTCACTTCCGTGAAACCTTTCAAAAAGTATGAAATTATTTCTTTGATTATATTTGTATAAGGAGGAAATATGTATCACGAAAATGTTCTCTCAGTGCCATGCCATTTTCATGAAATACATAAGCGTTACACTAAAGTTAAACCGAATATTTGCTTCTGAAGCATAGTTTTACTGCTTGGTGCGATTCAATAGGTTCAAACAGTGACTTGTTAGATGTACAGATGAATACATGAATCAACAAAGGTGAACACCTGCAAATGAAGAATACAGTTGATACTATAGAAACCGTAACAAGAACGATAGTGCATTATACATAATACATCGTAAAATGAAGAATTCAGAGAATGATGACGATAATATAAATAGGTTTCGTCTGGCGCAAAACCAGAAATTGTTTTTGATTAAAACATTTTCTCTTCCTGATAAGAATTTCCAGCATTTGTTTGACTGATCATGAACTGGCTTATCTAACTGACAGAGACGAGTAAAGCGTTCACGAATTTTACGTAAAACGTTCGCTCAGAGTATTACTACTGTGAATTGAAATATAACTGCATCATTACTCAAGTATAGCGACCTTCACGAGTAATGAATGACTATAAGGACTCGTTCAGTTTCTAAGTTTGTTCTTAAAGCCGCCCTCGGCAATAGCCCAGTCATAATCGAGTGTGAACCAGACCAACCTGTGATTCACATACTGTGTGTCGTCCACGTCCCACGTCGCAGGGGTAATATGAGACGCTATCAACCAAGCCACCGAACCTGGCCATCCAATTTATAAAGTAGCCTCTTGTGACAAGCATAGGTTGATAGGGACCTATTCCACAGTGTGTGAATTTATACATGAATTACACGCGAATAATGTATATTCAAATAAATTCAGATATGTGTCTGGGTGTTTTACTTTCATATGTCCATTCTGTTTTGTATTATCTGTGGTAGTTTTACTGTACATGTTATTTTTATGATTTTTTAATTTATTCTCGTCGCTATAGATGTACTGGCTTCGATATTGCCGATGCGACCTAAACTTTCAACTCACTAATTAGCACTGGGTTCCAAGAGGAAGGGGTTGGGGGGTGGGGGGTGGGAGGTGTGTGTGTGTGTGTGGGTAGATATAGACCGCCAGCCTGGAGAGCAGAAGGTAGTTGGTTTGATCCCCTGGCCGTGTCATACCAAATATGTTAAAAGATGGTAATTGTTGTTACCCTGATGTTTTTGGCATTGAGGGAATAAAATAAAGATATTGTGTCATATAACCTATGTTAAGTTGCGGCATGGTATCTCAGTAGGCTCGCACTATAAAAACGCTGGTGAAATTAATACAAGCAGCCACACAAGTGCATGCATTCAGGTCGCTAAATATCTACAATAATCCATATTTCACCTCATCTTACCCAAAATATGTGTTAGTTTGCATTCATGAACTTTAATCTGTATACGGAATCATAACCAAGACACTCAGATCACACAAGCACAGATTTTTGTTTGAAACATTGTACATTTTATTCATATTCATTGTGTAACTGTTTGTGAAATACAGATGTTCCACTGCTTCTTATATGTTATCTGCCCTTTGCGTCCTAACGTCAAATCATGTCCAACGTTGCTAATTGTGTCCTACATAGATAAGCCATAACTGACAAAGCAATTCTTCCCTCGGACCATGAAACAGCTGCTCTTTCTTCTCTTGAATTTATCCAGTAAGTATTATATATTACTAACACATGTAAATATGGCGTGTAACCATACAATATATGCATGGATTTGAACGATATCGTATTAAACTCAATCCAGTGGTGGAATAACGTGTTTGTAATGAACAATGATATATAACAGTCGCTTCCTTAAACATGAAGAATGAATGTGAGAATAAACCTACCACGATTTCATTCAGTTATGGGTTGTTTAATGATATCATACGAGGCACAATCATTACACAAAAACAATATATTTTATTTGGATTTGCTGGAAGTCTAAGGACGTTTGGAAATACTTTTGCAAGTAAATTGGGATTTCGGACGTACCAAATTCATGGGCCTCCACAGGTCATTGAATGATCTTTGTCATGGGAGGTGAATGTACTTCATGCTCACTGAAAAACGTCTTTTGTCCGTCAAGGTACGCTTGCTGTACTGAAATTTGCTTCATACTATGCTGATCATATGGTTCTTCAAAGAGGTCCCCAGAGGGCGATAGTCTGGGGCCATGCTGCAACGATAGGTGACGAGGTTACAGTCACGGTCAGTGGAAAAGGAGAGGTCAAGGTCAATGTTGTGAGGGACCCAAATGGAAATGAGGGTTTATGGAAGGCTAAACTGCCAGCTATAACTGACCCTGGTCCCTTCACCTTGACGGCGTCATCATCAGAGGGGGACTTAACTCTAACAGACGTCATGTTTGGTGACGTATGGGTATGCTCTGGACAGAGTAATATGGTGTTTACAATGGGTAAGGTAAGTTGGTACTCATTTATTCACAGGCACTGTTAACGTCATAGAGAGGTAGAGTTTTGTGAAGAATAGTCGATAAGTTTTACTCAAATTCTGCCATTTTATTCTTTCGTTTTAACGTCGGTGTAATAGCCGATACACTTCTACTGTTCACTTACAAATGGGGGTGTCAAATACAACTCAGTTCAAATGTTGCCATTTTAGATTGTTTATGTAAATGATTTGTAACAATTCCAAAGTTGAATGACAACCGAAGTTAATACACTATGTAAGTAATCTTACTTGGTATATAAAAGTCCAACATTCTTATTGATAAACCACTGACAATACCGTTCTGCCACACGGCGTCGTTGATGCAGCTGTCCTGTGAACTTCAAGTCCTCTGGACATTATATCCTAGATCAGTAGGATCAGTAGTCAGTAGTCAGATAACAAATATAACAAAGGACCCTTATGTCTCCCAGCTATGAAAAATAAAATCAGTCCACAGTTGGGTAAATGTAAAAAGGAAGTAAGAAAATATCGTTCTTAGTTTATTTATGAAATGACAATAAACATGGGAAAACGAACACACTTGAATACATTGAATCAAAATTAACCATTCTTGCTTTTTCATGGAACTGTGCGTCACCTCATGGGCAACTGGGAAGCCAGGTGATCGTTGCATATTTTACCTGCACCTTCTTTATCAAAATAATATCGGACAACAAAAAATGCCCGGACATAACTATATCTTAGGTCTGCTTTCTTCCTATGGACTGGTCAGGAATAGGACCTCAGTTAGATATGCCTATAATGCCCTGTGGTGAACAGTCCACCACAGCAACAGTTACATCCCTATGAAAACCATATGTGTATTCCTTGATACACTTCGAAAAGTATGGATATTACACTAACATATGCATAACATTTACTAAGAACATAATTCCAAAAACATGAACAATGGGCCTTTCTATCTGGTTGAAGGTCATTAACTCATCTGCGGAAATTGCAGAAACTCTAAAGTTCAAGACCATAAGAATCCTACAGACATCACAGGTGGAATCAACCACGCCCCTGGAAGACATACAGAGAATAGCCACCCAGTGGACTGAGCCGACTGATGGTTGAGTATTTCCAAGTGTTTAAAATTTCTCCTGTCGTATTTTGTTGATAATAACTATGTTATATCTGTTTTTTTGTTTACTCAAGTGTGTACATGATGTATGAAACTTTATTTATGCAAAGTTTAATATATTAATATACCTTACACTGAATATCATGCGGGAAACATTCCACTCATGCTGCTTGAAATTTGTTTACTCCCGACAGCTTTACATTTATTTGCATTTGATTTATCTAACCGAAAGTTTCTTATGACCTTCAGTGAATTGTTACTTCAAGACCACTTTAGCTTTGCCAAGGAAGTAGTCAAAAGGAAGATGTCATGTCAATGCTTTCTTAAGACAAATGGAAATTTGTTGTACATATTTTGAACAGCCACTGTATCCTCCTTCTCCGCCGTGTGTATGCTGTTTGGGGAGTACCTATTTCCAAACAGGAACTACCCTCTTGGGCTGATCGACTCGGCATGGGGTGGGACGCCTATTGAAGCCTGGTCCTCTCCTGACGCCATTGCCAAATGTCCTACATCCAATATAAGGCATGTTTGTGACACATTCATTCATGCCTAGGCTTGAAACTAATTGAAAGTAGCATGCATAGGTACAACTTTTCAGAATTGAATAGTTCATATTGTATTTAGAACTTCGAAAGCGGCACGTAAATAAGCTCAAATTGCACTTTAGTCCTGTCTATCGTACAGCGGAGGCAGGGCGTTGTATATAGAGGTTACATATACAGATTCTGTTGGAGGTGATGACCACCACAATTACATGTTTGATCGCACAATAAGCCTGCCTTCCGTTCAAAGTCATATTCGTCTGCACACGCTCCGCTGCAATTCAACTCTTCAAAGCAAATGTGCAGATTCTAATACATTAAGGCATACGCAAGCACAAATACTTGAACCAAACTACATTTGAAAAGGGAAATAGCGTAAAAGAAACAATAACAAAAATTGTCCACCAAACGAACAAATTTCAACATCCTTTTTACGGATGTTAGTCGTAAAAAGCTAGTTACATTGCTGATCGCGTCGTGACAATTTTCGCCTGAATAACACAAATGACCACATGTTTAGATTTGCTATTGACTTCCTACGAATGCTTTTCTTTTCTCTCTCGAGAATTGGCTTAATGTATCTAAGAAACTTGAAATTCGCAAAACAAGTCGCAAAACGCATTTTTACGTTACATGGACATTAAACTTATATATACGCAATTAAGTTGAAAAAATAGTCACGCGTCTGAGAACTATATTTGTATTTTGATAAAATTGCGTGTGACCTAATGTTCAATCCTCTGATTTTCTTTAGAGGCCCAGGTGAAAAATCTGTATTGTGGAATGCTATGATCAACCCGTTTCTCGACATGACCATTTTTGGTGCCTTATGGTATCAAGGTAATCTATCATTTTGTTTCATGAAAACACAACGTGTAGACGTCTGACATCAACTTCTAGTAATTCTAGTAATCAATGCTTTCTCGACACGGTTTGCATAAACGGTTAGAAATGTAATATAGCTTATACTGATTTACACTACTTTTGACCAACTCATGTACATGTCCTTGATATTTGGTGCATAATGTATGTCTAATAGGGGAGGCCAATGCGGGGAATCCAGATCTGTATGAATGTCGGTTTCCTGCCATGATAAATGATTGGAGAGAAAAATTTCATGCTAGTTCAGAACAGGAGACAGATATCCAGTTTCCTTTCGGATTTGTTCAGGTAATTCAGGATATTATGCTGCAATTATTATTATTATTATCATTATTATAAATCACAGGTATCCAGGTACTAGTACCAGGTACTATACCCAGACCAGTGGATCCGTTTACATTCAGTTATCATTCCAGATATCTATCCCAAGAGATTATACAACTCAAACTGCCTCGGAGCGCTAAAAATGTGTACGTCCATCCCACATATAATTCCCTGCTGGGTGAACAGAGGCACATTTGAACTAAGTCACTTGCCCAGGGTAACACCACAAGTTTTGACACTTGTGTTTTTGGTGTATGCACGTATTCGTGTTTCCACCATCTGGTCATCTACTATTAGATGGGTGGGTTCTTTTAAGTGCACAGGGTGTATGTACTGCACACTAGAGGTAGTGACAAAATTGTAAAGACCTGTAAACATTGTAGGTCGTGGCGTCAATATCCCAAATTGCCAGTAAAAGTGTAGACAAGTACCATCAAATCTGCTCCTCTCAGCAATATAGAATTCTCTACAATAACGGGAAAGCGAATCTCAACGTCTACCGTTAAAACCGGCTCTACCTGAAAGATCGGCTTCCTGTCAAGGATGTGACCTTAACAGTTTACCATAGGCGGCAAAGATTGGGGTTGGCTTGGCAACAACGTCCACTTATGGTGTTACACCATATTTACAACGAATCAGGATTTTGCCTCCGCTACACTGACGGCAGAAAGCGTTGTTGTCGACGTAGCGGCGAACGTAATGCCAGGGCAATAATTCTTGACCATGAACAGTACTTGGGCAGTAGTGTCATGGTGTGGGGTCAGTATCACACATGACGGGCGAACTACTTTGGAGATTGTGAATAGATATTTGACCCGCCAGCGATGTGTTGAAGACATTTTGCGACCTGTCGTTGTTCCATTCGCTGAATTATCAGCAGAATTTTTGAACTGCAAAATGACGTCTGACCAATGGCAGATCCGCACACGCCAGATATATTGATCTACACCTCCGAAATTAATTTTACAGACATTTATCATCATTACACCTTTTGTATCGGCAGAATATATATAATTTCTTGCTTTATGTACGTCTTGTGGAGATGTCTACCGGAAAAAAATTCATTTAATTACAAACAAACAAACATTTAATTACAAATGTAACAGTTGAAACTTAATTATCCCCACCTGACAGAGACGTTACACCATCCCTTGTAATTGAGGCCTAAAATGTAGGCCCATGTTGTCATATCTTAAACAAAAATAACAAAAATTATTTGAGGTCAATAAAAGTCTTTTTCTACATTTGCATATGATAATATATATAATCAACTTAAAAAAATATGCTTGAAATATAGGAGACATTTGTTCTCAGCGAATAAATGCATGCTGGTCAAGTAACAAATTGGCGCTTTGTTGAAAGGAACAGTCTCGATTGACGAGTTAAATGATATATTTACAGTTTATAACGAAACATTTTCACGAAAAATTACAAACGGTAAAAACCTATACAAACCGCCAAAATGACCACCTGTCATCATTTTGCCTTATCAACGTGGAACACCCAGCGTGTGTTACCAGTTTGCCCTTGGAAGTATATGACATAGATAATTGTTTTAAAAAACACATTTTCATTATCAGCTTGCTCCAAATGCCAAATCGACGGATGTTGGAACTTTCCCTGCGCTAAGGTGGTCTCAAACTGCAGATGTTGGTTTTGTCCCTAATGAGAAGATGCCAAAAACATTCATGGCTGTAGCCATTGACCTACCTGATTATGACTCTCCCTTTGGGTCGTAAGTACTAGTAATTCATTGTTTATAATGTAGACACATTTTTCCACATTGAAACACTGTGAGCACGATGTCCTTGAGACAAACGATCTAATCACAGTTACCCGCTGTTCAAGACAACCGGATTTTTTATATTATAATATATCATGGTGCAGATACAATTCCTACCAGAAGAAAATCGTCATTGACAATACAATTGAACATTGGACTTCGACTTTCAAACATTTTCTAAAGAACAATTTCAATGCATATACTAGTAATTTATTATGTGTGTTTCAAATTTCCAGAATCCATCCACGGTATAAGCAGGATGTCGCCTCCCGTCTGGTTCTTGGGGCCAGAGCGGTCGCCTATGGAGAAGAAGGGGTTAAGTTTCAGGGTCCTCTCCCTCAAACAGTCAGCCTTAACAATGTCAATAACGTCCTTAATGTGAACTACGGAGACGATAGTCCTATAAAGGTTCTTGGCAACAACGGTTTTGAGGTAGATATTTCAGCTTCCAACCATTTCACGAAAACACTTTAAAGATATGAACAATGGTGGATGGTATACTCAGTTCATAATTTGAATATGTTTATGACATCATTTAAGTAGAAACCTCACGTGTCTCTTCCACTTTTGCTGACATTCTCGTATATCTCACGTGATGGCATTGCGATTCGGGAGATCCTTATGAGTTAGATTAGTGTGTTGGTTTTAAAGCAGTAAGTTATGTACAGCATGTGGTGGCAGTTTCATGAGGGAGGGAAGTCGTACAGGTCAAGGCGTTTACCAACACACAAGGTATGGTCCTGACAGACAAGGAATCATGAGGTCATGCAGGGCGAATGTGGGATTCTAACCAAAACGCACAGGTCCTGATGGACGCAACTCGGCACATCAAATTGCGGCGCTTTACACAACTATGCCTCCCGTGCGCAAGTGTCCAATGAAAATGACGTATGAATTTATTATCGGCCATTTGTATCTACATATGGTAATTGAAGGCAATAGTTAAACGGCAGCCGGATCATAAAGGAACTGGACTCTTTGATTCTGTGGTGGCGGATTATATACTGTGCTTATTTGTTGCAGGTGTGCTGTTCTAGCAGTAGTACAACCGAATGCGCAGACTCGGATGAGTGGGTGGCTGCACCAATCACAGACCAAGACACAAACTCCGTATCGGTATCCGTAGCTGGCTGTGAGAGCAAGTCACCAGTTGGTCTCCGATATGAATGGCGCACTAGTCCCTGTGATCTCAAGGATTGTGCTATATATGGTAGTGATACAGATTTGCCAGCTCCACCCTACATCAAAACGAGAGGGTTTTAGACAAGGATAAACACATTAGTCGTTCATACTGATTATCATGAATACAAGTGTTTACATTGCATAGAATGTTGTTATTTGCTTCTTTTATGCTTCTGAGTGTGAGTGAATGAGTGTGGTTTTACGCCGTTTTTAGCAATATTCCAGCAATAACAACATTAACAACGAGGCTACCCGACTGCCGCCTTGATGCTTCAGACGTTCCTTTCTCGTGGCCACACACATATTGTACATTACTTTAACCCTTTGAAAAGATATTTGAATTTGGTTGGGAAATATTAGTATATAATTACAGTTCACATACTGGTGTCACACGGGCAAGAGAAAGTATACACTTGAAAACAGGATATGACCATCAAATTAATTGAAACGTTATTAGTCTGAAAAATGTCGCCGATACACTACAAATGTAGGTCCAAACTATACACATATCAAATACATCACCATCGAATAACCATCGTCTGTTTTGTTCCTTTTTAGCCACCATCAAAATGGGAATGTACATTCTTTTGCCCGGCAGTTTATTTTGACGATTACATATAAGTTCTATGTACATCGAATGAAATCGTACACTGATACTGTATGTGTTTCAAGTGTTATTGGGGGCATGGGCTGAGTTGCGTTCCTTCTTATCCATGCATGTGATACACATATACGTCATTGCACGTCCTAGTCAAGGGGGCGGTCGGGTAGTCTAGTGGTTAAAGCGTTCGCTCGTCACGCTGAAGACCCGGGTTCGATTCCCGACATGGGTACATTGTGTGAAGCCCATTTCTGGTGTCCCCCGCCGTGATATTGCTGGAATATTGCTAAAAGCGGCGTAAAACCATACTCACTCACTCACTCACCCCTAGTCAAGATTTCTCCTCTTTGGAAGTGCTATTTACTGAATATCTAAAACAACAAACTATCGTCAATGGAATGGTCACTGTTTTACCGTCACAAATTATTCCCAGATTAAATTTCACTTCAGGGAAACTTTTTATCAGTATAAATGTTTTTCTTTAATCACATTTCTATGAGGAGTGAGGGTGTGTCATGAAAACGTTCTCCCAGTGTACATGCCATTGAGTAACGTTCTTATGAAATACATCAGCGAGACAAGTTTATTTAAACCAGAACGTTGCTACTTATTATAAAGCATAGCTTCACTGCGTGGTGCTATTCAGTTAGTACTGACAGTGACTTGTTAGGTATACATTAATCAACGAAAGGTGAACAACTGAAAATAAAGAATACAGTTAATATGATAGAAAACGTGACACGCCACGATAATGTTTTATGTGTAACAAAATACAACGAACAGTAAAGAATTGGGAGCGAATACGACAATGTTAAATGAAAACATATATCAAAGAAAGATAAAACAAAGTGTCTACGATGGAACACGTAACTTTAAGGATATTATCAAACAGTAGCACAAGTACATTTCACAAACCAGTGATGTACTCATGGGATATTACACGAGCTTCGATTTGATATTTAATATATATGTCCCAAGTGAAATGATTTTCAGTTCACCGAGGGCAAACTGGAAGTTATTTCATGAGGGACATAAACTTAACATCAGTTATACTGAGTGTAATATTGTACACAGATGTAATCTGAAGAGGAATCAAGAAAAACAGACAGTGTCAGAACACTCTATATAGCAATTTAGAGACACGTTTGTTGGACCAATCACAACGGAAGTCAGTGATTTCTGTACGTAGTTTCTCGTTCATTTTGTTCTCTGGTACAGGTAAATTACAAAATGATATGTTGTCAAATTGAAAGGCCGTATAACTGTTTTATCAATACAGTAACGCAAGATTATATTGATTGTGGACTCTACTTAATTTTACGCTGTTAACTAGTTCACTGTCTTAGCATAAGTTCTTTGCAGATATCTCAACTGTGCATACGCAGCGGACAGCGAATTTAAGTTTGTCTTTAAATATTCTATTTGGAGGTTACTGAGTGATTCTACTGAAAGTGTCAACAGAGTCAAGGCTGATGAAAAAAATGACTCAAGCGGCACTGGCAGGTACACATTATTGTCGGAAATGTTTCAAAGAAAGTTTATCGTTTTACTCATTCATTCGTCTTATTTAGCCCAATTCATTCTCAAACTGTCTGTCCCTGCAAACCTTGCCATCTTTCTTGCTCATGACCGGCGATGATGCAAGCTGAAAACGCTCAAGTCGGCGACTGTCTCTTCAGATAGCTAGACTCTTTCAAGAAAAAGATGTTGACGTTACATGTGTCACTAGAGGGGTGCACGGGATTTTACATCAGGTCGTTTCTTCGGTGAACTATATTCCTGTAACCTATTCAACTGGTTTGATGTCGCTTTTATCAATATTTCACATTGTACCAATGTGGGGAATTGCACCCAGGCGTGCGGCGTGACCGACGAATGATTTAACCACTGTGTTGAGGACATGATGATGGTAATTATAAAAGACTGATGAAGGGAATATCTTGGGCGGATCGCATCAGGATATTAGTCCTCATAGTCCTGTTCCTTGCCACCAGACTGTTGATAATGTTGTTGAATGTTGTCCTCCTTTGTACGTTATGCTACTAAGAACCATACCTATTGTGATCAAAAATATGTGTGTGAAGCTATTGCTATAAATAGCATTACTGAATCAATTGCTGTTTCAAGTCTGTGAAAGCAACAACAATCTGAAGGGCTTGTGATTATACTTATGATACTGCTCCATTCGATAATGTTGAACACATAATTGATACCGACTGCAAAAGTAGTGTTTTAAGAATTACTGTTGATGCAGAAGAAACCTCCAGCCAAGAAACCACAGGTAATAATTATGTTGTTGGCAGTAAGTACAGCCACAATGTTTATAACACGGGCGTTGAAACTGATGTTTATGCTGTCATTAATACCGACAATGAAGATGTTTCTCAATATGGTGACGATAAGAAGGCACTTGTCAATTATGAAAATGTTCTTGATAATATACATGAAGAGTAAAGTCATGACATATAAATCAAGCCACTGGATATTGTCATCATTATTATGCTGATAATAATGCAGTTGTTAAAAATTACACCGTTGAAAGTCATGGTAATTAAGCTGACAATAATGCTACCGAATATTGTAAGCATTATGGTGCTTTTAATAATATTGTTATTGCAAATGACAACGTTGAAAGTCATGGTAATTTAGCTGACAATAATGCTACCGAATATTGTAAGCATAATGGTGTTGATAATAATACTGTTATTGCAAATGACAACGTTGAAAGTCATGGTAATTTAGCTGACAATAATGCTACCGAATATTGTAAGCATTATGGTGCTGATAATAATACTGTTATTGCAAATGACAACGTTGAAAGTCATGGTAATTTAGCTGACAATAATGCTACCGAATATTGTAAGCATTATGGTGCTGATAATAATACGGTTGCTACAAATGTCAACATTAAAAGTCATGGTAATTCAGCTGACAATAATGCCACCGAATATTGTCACAATTATGGTGCTGATAGTAATACGGTTGTTAACAATAACAATGTTGCTGCTTATGACACTGAGTGAGTAGATTCACTGAGCAGACTCAAACAACAATGTTGCTGTCAGTCATGACAAAGAAAATGTCCCCAGCATTGCTGATCATAAGGTGGTTATCAAACAAAACACACACATTGCCAATGATATTGAAAGTGACAGCACTGTAGTTCCCAATAATCACAATGAAATTATGTCGAACAGTGGTGGTGAAGTAAATGCACTCAATAAGATACAAACTAATTATGACAATACAATGTTCAACATACAGGAGGAGAAATTACTTGCAATGTACACTCTTCAAAAAAAGAAAAGCACAGGTAGTATGTAGTTTATTGGACCTGACTACGCAAAACATTCGGTATGTAGATTTGATATATGTTATTGAAAAATGTTTGTGGCCTGATATACGACAAACGGTGGGTTAAAAAGCAGCCAATGTCGATTTGCAATGTCTTAAACGGAATCGTTTTCACACTTGTTCAAAAATGTCATGGAGGAAAACAGTAAAGCAAAATGCACGTGCAAGTTATGGCATTCGTAACTCGGATCGTCGCTATAAAAAGAGGAAAGATATGTTCAATTTTGTAAGAGCTAAAAAACATTCCATCTATTTTCTCCAGGATACTCACTTTGACAAGAAGATTGAATTATATATAAGAACAGAGTGGGGCTTTGACTGTGTGTTTAATTGTAGTACCAGCCGGTCTAGGGGTGTTGCTATGTTGGTAAATGATAATTTTACTTACAAAATTCATGATATACACCTCGTCATAATTTATCGCACCACCCACTTTTTTTTATTAAGTAAAACTGGATCTTCAACCTCATAAAAATGGTGCTTAGAAAAGCACATTAAACTGTTGATATGGCCTTATGTGAGCGTTCAGTCAGAAAACTGACAACACAAGGTCGAATTTGAACACTAATTGAGGGTTTAATTGTAGCAAACTATTATCACCGTGAAATAAGGTGAAATAAGTATGGCTGCCGGAGTCGTTACAACAGACACACAACACAGTTCACATTTCATTTATGTCGAATGACTGGCTAACTCAGTATCTGGTTTTACCCCCCCCGAAGTTGGATAACATGTTCTACACGCCGTCTCATGCTGGTCATCAGACGTCTGAATCTCTGTTGGGGGATCTGCTGCCACTCATCATGCAATGCATGGGTCAATTCCTGAAGTTTCTGAACTGGAGGATCCCTTGCTCTCACCCTACGTCCCTAAATGTCCCACAAATGCTCAATAGGACTAATGTCTGGACTTCCGGCAGGCCAGGGTAGTGTCTCAATGGCGTTGTGTTGGAGATGCCGAACAACAGCTCGAGCACGATGTGGTCTGGCATTATTGTCAATGAAGACTGGACGTGTGGCGAGAGCATGGTTATCGAAATGAGGCACGACAGCACCGTCCAGGATCAAGTTCTGGTACCTCTGTCCATTCAGTGTTCCGGGAACTGTGATGAGGTCAAGTTTACAATCGTAAGAACAACACCCCCACACCATGACGGATCCACCCCCTAATGGAACATCAGCTTGAAT